CTGACAATGAAGCTGAATAATGTATCTATCAGTCTGCCTGAGTGTGCCGAGCACTGGGCACTGAGGAAGCTGCCAGCTTGTTATGGGCTCATTACAGGTGAAGATGACATGTGGTGGTGCAGCCGCCTTGGCATTGTCTCCCTGCCCTGCCCTCGATAGAAGGCACAACACTCTGTCACTCCCGATGGCATAGAGAAAGGGAGACAGAGGTGATGGAGGAGGAGGGAATGAGCCTCAATGCTCCCCTAACCTCCCAAAATGAAATTGACAGGCTCGCTGAAGTAATTGCTCCCAGCACTATTTTCTTTGGCAGGAAATACTGTTATCGACAAATAGGGGATTCAATAAGCGGCAGGAGATGAGGCTCTAGGCTGTGGTCAAAAGGCTGTGTCCGTCCTCTACTGTTGAGGTTGCAGTGTCTCATGACGCTCCATCTTTCTGCCCTGCCCTTTCTCCCCCTTTTTCTCTCTCTTTTTGTATCTATACCCTACATTTTCTATCTCCTTCATATTCCCTCTGCCTTTTTACGTCACTACTTCATCGTATACTACCCACACAACATCTCTGCGATACCTCCATCCCCTGCACCCTTTCTCTAGGGTCTCTTTTTGACCATTTTTGTCTGTTGACCATTCCCGTGACCCTGAAGAGAATAAATGCTATTACCCAATAGCCAGCAGGTAATGCATGCCCCCCTCCCCCGGCTTGTTTCTCTGCTGCCAGTGTGGTGGGGTAATGTTGATATTATCCCAAAGGATTCCATTGATTTGGGCTAGGGTCATGAAAAAGCAGTTTATGGTCAGTGTCTTTGGTTTCCAGAGGTCAGAGCATGCGGTGAAACCAGAGCTCTAGCTTTTCTGGACATAGTGGTATGCCTGCTGGGAACAACTGAGAGGTAGGAAGATAAATAAAAAGAGGGTGATGTGTTTCCCTCTCGCTTCCTGATGTATTACTGAGGAATGTTCTGAAAATGTAGTCGCCTAATCAGCCATATCCAAAAAGGGAACCACAATGATGTGAGCAGCATTTTTAGTGTTTTGAGCGCCTTTTCTCAGACACTATACATTATTCTCTTGCTCTGTTTGGGTCAACATTTATGTTATATAGTTCTGGATTACTTTGCCAAAAGTGCATATATTTACTGTTGAGTGTAAAAGTTTTGTCAGTGGTGTTTTGAACTTGAGTTCTTACTCATGCTAAAAAGGTGTTCTTGACAAAGCCGCTGAATGCATTTTATTAAGCTCTAACATCACTGAAGTCAAGTCTCGACCAAATGGCAGACGAGTGGTCTAAAGACTTGCACGAAACTCACCACTGTGGCTTAAATATATCTCATCTGCCATTATCTTTCAAGCCTTATTCAGCACAGTGCTGACATATTGCTTCTCCACCGTCTACCTAACCCGCGTGCTTTAGCATTTGTTTTTCATCTAAACTGATCCACTGCAGACAGGAGTGTGTTTTGAAAACCCGAGCCTTCTCTACAGCAAAAAGTTTGTTGAAGAGTTGTTGATTTGACTGCTGTAATAGTGGAACAACAAAATTGATATTTTCAGGAGACAAGCAGCATATTACACTGCAATGCATAGCCTGAGAATGTAAATGCCAATTGTTGTTCATCTTTTTCCTCTCACCTTTTGGAAGACAAGGAACATTCACATGGACTGTATGTTCTTCCTGAATTCCTGACATGATTGGATCAGATACTCGTGATGCACTGTTCCAATCAGCATGGTTAAATTATTCTGGTCCCAGGCCTTCTGTAGGTCCCTGTCCAGTGAGTATCAACCCTATTGGATAATGAAAACTGTGGCTTCAGCCTTCTTCTCAATAGGGAAGGATCCTCTTCTACTAAAAGCGTTTTAAATTAATGAGCACTTTTATGCAGTGTGCCAGAGGAGGACATCTGTGTAGCTGCCCAATGGTCCAGATACATTTAAAGGTTAGGCTTCAAGTACATCTAAAATTTTTATACCACAATACGTTAGTCCTCCAATCACCTTTTCTTTTGAAGAAACGCTCAAGCAATTTTTTTTTCTTGTTGTGAGAATTATATAAACCTAGAACACAACTAAGTGGGTGATTATGTTGCATAACAATATTTATGTAGCTCAAAATCAGTGGCCTGGTTGCAAATATTCTTTGTCCCAGTGCCGGTCTGCAGCCTGGTGGTTGGGTACTGCTTTCCTAGACACAGTATATCTCATATGTGTTTATTGCATGCTACATTTTTGGCATATTGTTATACATATTATTTTACAGGATTAATCTTATGTAGTGGTTGACCATAGTATCCTATATTTGTTCCTGCTTGTGGGAATAGATTTTTACTATTTCAGCCTTCCTGGTTTGTGTTCAAGACAAATAAGCCTCTTCTAATGACATTGGCAAGTCTCTCTCATAAATTGAAATACAATTATTGTGTGGCTCTGTGAGATGAGCACCATTTAATTACTTGGTTACCATAATTTTTCCCTGACCAGATGTTAAAAAGGCATCCTGAAATAGACCCAGCTAACTGCTGAAGTAAATATGAATTTCATCATGGGAATTGCCTAGTTATCATATGATGACATTAATTCATAATGTTGACATCTTCATGAGTAACCCTTGTAGAGCACATACCCTATCTGATAGTCCTTTTAGTGAGACAGTGGAAAATTATTGGGCTGTGATTGAAAATGGTAATCACTTGAACACTGTAAATACCAAAGTTAATAAAGAAGAAAGATTGTGGCTTCACAACTCTAAAGACTGTATAAAGACAGAAAGTGTGTGTTCTGGCAGATGCGAGGAAACACACACATACACACAGTTACAGGTCATTGACTTCATGATAAAAAAATCCTCAGTATTCAAAAGTGAGTCATCACAAATGACACAAACTTCTCTTTGGAAAACTGATTTCAAGAGTCTGTTTAAAAACAGTAAGCACTGCTGCTGTCAGGGATTAAAGGCACATTGATTTTTTTTAAAAGTACTTAAGCAGAAAAATATAATTGTCATTGTTAAACCTACTATAAATTCAGTTTTACATTACTCTCCAAGTTGAACCTTGAAGTGACTCTTTTGCAGAGTCAGAGTCTCTATATTTCATCGTTTTTGTGTCTGGGAAAGCTATCTTTCTCCTTTTCTACATCTAATTGAAGTTTCTCATAGTGCATATCTGCTTTTATCAATTTCATTATTGCTTATTTTTGAGTGTAGCTGTTCATACTCAAAAGCATAAAAGTAGCGTTAGGCAGAAATGGAAAAAAAGGATCCTGTGGTAGGTAATAGTTGAAAAATCTAGATAGTAATGAGAGGGATTCTCACCTCTCCCTATGGCCTAATAACTACCTTGAGTCAGATAAAAGCTAAGCCAGTCACTCCCCCACATTCAGCCAACAGTGCTTGAGAAAAAAGATGAATGGCATAAGTGTTTGTATAGATCAAGCAGAGAAAGACAGAGAAAAGACAGAAGCACAGAAAATGGATTTACTACAAAATCAATCTATAGTGCGGAAAACCAGACAATTATGTGAAAGTACACTCTCAGTTTTAACTTTGTTGAGATTTTACTTTTTTTTTTTTTAAAGAAGTTAGTAGACAACGTATGATCTTTAAACCTATGGTAGAGAAAAATGGTTTATCTATGTTTATCCTTACGCCCTCCTTTCAACAAAAAAAAAAAAACCTTTATTGTGGAATGGCATGACTAGAACCTTTGTTTTTTGTTGCTTACAATATGTTCTACTCATGAAGAACAATTATGACACTGGTTGTCTGGTTGTGGAAGAGGCACCTCTTCTACTTGGTTTTGGCAGGAATCATCCCTGCAAGTTGAGGAATGTGATTTTACGTCTACTTTTATCAAACAAATACTTCTTGTCCTTATCGAGCCAATCAGACTATGAACTCGGATCACACCTAGAGATACAGAGTTATTGGTATCTTGCTGTTGTTAGACTGCCTCTGCTATTTCCAACATAAAAACAGTTTCTTTGATGTTGACTGTGCATTGCAGGAGAGCAGCAGGCCTCTTTTCTCCAGATAAATGAGCTATCTTATTACTTCCCAAACTGCCTATTAGCACAGCTCACTTTGTGGGGAACCAGCGGTCCAGGGATGAACACAGTAAAGATGATGCCTAGCACTCTGGTTCAGCCATATGTTAGCCTGTTGCTGCAGAATGTTCTTCTTTTTGTTTTGTATGGTACCTTGACTCAGCCCCCCCGCTGAAATGTAGCTCATTTTGACAAGAGAACCTGAAAATTATCGATTTAACACAGATTTGTTCTTGGAGCTTGTATTGGGAGTAGAGATAATGTAGTGAAATTAAAAGAATTGCAAATCTTCATTTAGATTTATGTTGATGGCTGGACCGCATCGACACATTACACTGAGCTGTAGCTCAATGTAATATACTATGTTGACTTCACTGTGTGCTGGGAGAGTGAGTGTGTAAATGTGTTTCCCTGCTGTGGTGTCAGTGTGTGTATTGCTGCCAATAGCTAGTCCCATTGTGTAAGCATCAGTGTAGCGGCATGTCCCTTGTGCCCTCTGCGGAGATTATACACAAGAATCCATTTACTTCAAGCAGCAGCTGCCGTGGATCGCATGTAGAGCCTAGTGTTTGGCTCTCTTCAAGTATAGTCCATCATTAGAGTCTTGGCTGATAGAGAAAAAGAGAAGTTTTGGCCAGGTTTTATAACCAGCACCTTTGTATGAATCCAAATTTGAAGTGATTCACACTACATTATTGATCAATTAACTATACCTACTGAGAACACAAGATACTGACCAAGCAATATGAAATTTTCATCATTGTGTTGCATTTTAACGCTTGAAGTATATAACCATATATTGATCTAAATTATTCTTGGATGTCTTTCAATTATGTTCACAAAGTATTTTTGTTATTGATGATATTGTATTTCTTTCATCACATTACCGTAAGTGTTGAGGTCACAGTGTATGATGGAACTCTAATAACTATCCTGGTGGTATTTTGTTTTCAGGGTGGACTAAGGAACAGCAAGCATGAGTGTACACTTTCATCCCAAGAATATGTCCATGAGCTGCGTTCTGGCATCACGGAAGAAAAGTTGCTCAATTGCCTGGAGTCCCTCAGAGTGTCTCTCACCAGTAACCCTGTCAGGTAACTCAAGCTTTTTTCACACACTGCAAACTGTGCCCCATACTTGGGACATTTTTGAATGATATTTTCAGCTCAAAGGACTCTTTATCATTGGCATAATGATAAAAATAGAAGGTTCATCAATATCATAAGGGGACTCTCTTTTAATTCCTCAATTTTTGCTCATAACTCTAAAAACAGATATCATGAAATGTCATTATGCTGAGTGTGCTGTGAAGGATAGACTCTGGGTATGCTGATTTTTAGAGTCCCAAAATAATTTGGATAACCATATTACATCTGTCTGTCAGTATGTTGGTTGGTACAGTAAGTTACCCACAACCAGAAGCACGGAAAGGATGCAGTAGCATGCAGTGTGTTGTGAGCAAATGCCGTCCTAAGTGCAATGAGAAATCCCTTAGCTGTGTTTTTGGTACAATATACACAAGAGTTTTTGGGAGGGTGTCTCCTGCTATTTTCTAACCTCTGTAAAGGAACCTCATTGGAACTGTTCCATTTAAACAAGCGTAGCAAATAGTGTAGCTGAGCAAATGAGCACAAGCTTATGGTCGCTGGGAGTAACTTTGTCTATTAAGCTCTAAAAGATAGAAAGTCTAGTCTATATTAGAAAGTCAGCCATTCTGAGACCTTAACAAGCGTGTTGCTCAATGGGAGTCATAGCAGTTCAGCAAGGTAGCCGTCACACAATGCAGGCAATGTGTCCTGGGCGTGGTGTGTACAAACGGGTTCCAATCTAAAAATGGCCAGTGCCTGCACTTTTTTTCTTTATCGGTTATGAACATGTAAAAAAACATAATTTTAGATATTTTTTGGCAGCTCTGTCCTGTTGATCTTTGATTGGTACTTGAGGCATTCATTACAAGGCCTCACTGATTTTTCCAGCATGGTCTCTACTTGTTACCCAAATTCTCTATTCTGTCCTGTAAATGAAGTCTTCAATTTTAATTTTGCCCCACTAGTGCAAAAGAACCCTTAGTGACAGCAGATCCTGTAAATTATTTACCAGCCCACTGTTAAGGAGATGTTTTTTAATGTGAATCAATGAATGGTGCATATTAAATGGTCATCAGATAAGTGGAATACTTTTTTATGTTGACCCTGGATACATGGGTACTGAGTCAGGATCTGCCAGCATGGTCCCAGAGGATCTTTTATTTAATCTGTGTCCTACTACCAATATTACTGCTGCATTTCTGCATTAACCAATTTTGAATTTGTGTTCTCTCTTGCTAAAATCCTGCACATTCACTACAACAACAGATCCAACAACCATCCATTCATATATTCACTGATCATTTAATTGGGAACACCTGTTATTCATGCAATTGTCCAATCACCCAATCATGTGGCAGGGGTGCAGTCCATAAAATCATGCAGATACTGGCCAGGAGGATCAATTAATGTTCATATCAAAGATCAGAATGGGTAAAAAATGTGATCTGTGACTTTGACTGTGGCATAATTGTTGGTGCCAGGCAGGCCAGTTTGAATATTTCTGAAACTGCTGGTCTCCTGGGATACTCAGAACTGTGAGAAAAACAAACAAAAAAAAAAACAGCCAGTGAGCAGCAGTTCTGCAGACGGATGTCCTGTGTCCTGTTGATGTGAGAGGCCAAAAGGGAATGGCTGGACTGATACAATCTTACAGAAAGGCAGTGGTAATACAGATCCACCTCTCTTTACAACTGCATCTCAGAATGCACGACACATTGAACCTTGAGATGGATGGGCTACAACAGCAGAAGACCATGTTGGGTTTTACTCCTGTCAGCCAAGAACAGAAATCTGATGTAGCAGTGGACACAGCCTGGACAAATGCACAATTGAAGACTGGAAAAACCTAGCCTGGTCTGATGAATCTGGATTTCTGTTGAGACACTCAGACAGTTGAATTTGGCATCAACAGCATGAATACATGAACCCAACCTGCCTTGTCAACAGTCCTGGCTGATGGTGGTGGTGTAATGGTGTGGAGAATGTTTTACTGGCACACTTTGCACCCCTTAATACCAATTAGTCATGGTGTGAATGCCCCAGTCTATCTGAGTATTGTTGTTGACCATGTGCATCCCTTTATGGCTTCAATTTACCATCTTCTAATGGCTACTTCCACCATGATAATGCACCATGTCAAAAAGCAAAAGTCGTCTCAAACTGGTTTCATTAATATGACAAGGAGTCCTTTGTACTCTATTGGCCCAGTCACCAGATCTGCATCCAATAGAACACCTTTGGGATGTGGTGGAAAGATTGGCATGAATTCAGCTGTTCAGCTGACAAATCTGCAGAAATGATGTGATGTAATCATGTCAACATGTGCCAGAAGATGTTTCCAACATCTTGAAGAATTGAGGCTATTGACAGCAAATCGAGGCTCTTCCCAGTATGAGTATAGTCTTTCCTAATAAAGTGCTTGATGCATGTATATAGAATTAGATACCATGGAAATTTTCATTCATATCAACACTCTTCCAAATCAAACTTAGAAGAGGGAGTTGCCCAACCTTTGAGATCCACATGGAATTCTGGTTTGAAGGATACAAAGCTATTTGGTTGGCTAACAAGGTAACATTAGCTAGTTATACATACATAAAGTAACCATGGATAGATTTATAATGTACTAAGCTTAACACAAATGCCTTTTACATATAGTATGTCATATCGTATAATGAATAGCTGAGTAGCTAAGTAATTATCCCTGGAGTGACAGTAGAGCTATGAAGTCGGTCTCTCCAGTCTCCAGAAAGCTGTGGGGAGTCATCTCAGCTTTTCCACTCAGAAAGGCCAACTGGTGCCAAGGGGATGAAAGTGAGACCAGGCTTGCCCTATGGGTATTTTCAAATGGCTGAACCTTTGACCAGCATGTAGGGGACCATTGCTTTATGGAGGAGTCGCCTCCCACTGATGGCCAGGTTCATCCAGTGAGAAAGCCACCTTCAGGTGTGTGTGCTGAGGAGGACTACACAAGTGTTGACTAACACCAGTCCCTTGCTCATCTTTACACCCCTCATTATTTCTCTCCAGGGGAAAGGGACTGATTATTTTCTTGAAGCATGGATAAGGTTACTCATAATTAATATGAATGCACTTAATTGTCATGGATCACAAGACACAGGAAATCCACATTTGGTTTGCTACTCTTCTGACTCCACTATGTTAATGTAACCTTTGTACGGTTTGTTATCTAATACTGGAAATAACCATGAAATAGATGGCAGAGCAGAGCAGTGCATTCATGCCTGTTTTAATCCATACCTTACAATAATGATCAGCCTGTTTGTCTTTAAATATTGGTATTTGGGGAAGTTATTATGAATCTAAAGAACTTAAATCCTCTAATAATAAGCCTGTATACTTATTGAGATATACTAGTAATTTGTGCATAATATGCTATAATTTATTTCACTATGATAATTCTATATCACAGTTTAAAGCATTGCATACTGGTTTTCACTGCAGACACAAACTACCATTCTGTCAGAAATGCCTGTGTATATCCACAAGCTTGTTATACAGTCAATGTTTCAGCTTAGATTGGCAATTTTGATATGACCATTTCAAATACTGCCTGTTTATGTTAAATTAATAGCTTACATGATTAGCAATCTTAAACTATCTAACAATCGGATGCAGAGGGTCTACTTACATGTATTCCAAAACCTCACGGTCTATTGTTGTCTTTGTATGTATCATGTGCTAATGACTCAAGAAACATCAGTGTCACTTGCATGTGTGATGGGTAAATACAGCCCTGAATATTGAATTTATACAAAGTTAGCAATTTTAAATCCATTCATAGTATTTATATAAAATAACTAATTTTGTGATCTGTTTTTAAACACAGGAGAAATTTTTTGACATTTGTGTGATGATATATTTAAATCAATGCTTCATTAAGCATTAAATTTTATTCTGTACACATGAAATGAAAGTCTCACCATCAAAGTGTTTTTGGTCTTCACAGTGCTTACCACTGCTTTTTGTTTTTCATGTGATGTTTGGGCAGCCTGCTAATTTGCTCCCAGAGGCCTGTGTTTGTCTAATAGTTTAATTGGCTAGGCTGTGCACCTGTTTGGCAGCACAGGTGGCCACGGGGCCATTGTGCTGAGGGCCTTATCTCCCAGGCAGTCCCACACAGGTGTGTGGCATGCAGCCTTTGCAGATCTGCCCACAGATGGCATTGCCTGGAGCATCCGCTGCATACTCTGTTTCCACTCTCTTTCTCCTCATCTGCCATGTTTTCCACTTCTCTTTCTGTCAAAATTTCCCCAGCCAATTATTTATCCTCTACTTCATTCTCCCCCTTTTTAATTTTGTCATTTGGATACACGCTTCTTAATTTAGAAGTGTCAGATTGACTAGCCACTTTTCATTAATTTCTTAATCCACTGACATGAAGTGAGATGCCAACTTACAGAAAATTACAACCCTCTTATTTTCTCATTTAGTGGCAGAGAAATCCTCGGGTGTTTCAGTTTGGCTTTCTTTTTTACACATTTTTCAGTTTTCTCACTCACTATGTTGCACATGTGAAAACTGATAAGATCCATGTAAAATATATCAATTAACTTAATATCTCAATAGGCAAAACATTTTTCTATTTTCTGTTTACAGTTGCTACAGCAAAAACTCAACTATTTTGTATCATGAATGCTTAAATATTGGTTTTGCATGAGCAGGACTACACTACTTTTACACTATATTTGGTCATTTCAGTTCAAGGCAGCTCCAAAGAAGTACAGTTAAACCTCTCTTCCTGTGATCTAACTCAACTGCTGCTCCATCAATAGACTTTCCAATATAAAAATAGAGTGGTTTTGGGCAGCAGAGCACAAATCCATGGCCCCAACCTTTGAGTTCCTTATGTTTAGCCCTCAGCATTACACTATGACTCTGTCAAATCCCGACAGTGACTTCCATATTAGATCTGCTAGCTCTCAGATCCCTAAGACATATTTAAGCAAAATTGAACTGGGCTCCTAACTTTTCATTATGTGAAG